CCCTGGAGCATTCATCTGACTGACTCCCCGGGCCCCTGATCGATTGTTTCTATCCTTCCTGCCGGGCTCTCCAGGGTTTTGCCATGATTCTGTCGCTTCAGCTTCTGTAACCAACTCCCCAGGCCTGTCTGATCAACAACGAAGTCTCCATCCTCAGTACGCTGGTCCGTCATGGGGGATTCCCCGGGAACGGGCAGGGCGGGAATGGCTCCGGAAACGTCCCAGACATTGCTGCAGCTGTCGTCGCCCGACCACCTCACCCACCACCACCCAAACCCTCCCACTGAGCATGATCGAACTACCCTTCAGTCGAAGCGATCCTCTCTACCAGCACGTCCAAATGGTGCTGCTCGACACGCCAAACGACTGACCTTGAACTTCCCCATCAACATCCCGCCGCCCGCCACCGTCGACCCTAGTGCGAGTGTTGCCTCCCCTGGATCCATGACGCCCGTGACTCGTTCCTCCGCCTACCCCTCGCCGATCCCCCATCTGGGAGCTCCCCTGGCCTTTGACGAACAGGATGATGGCTCCGGACTGTTGACCGCCATCGCCTCGCAGGAAAGAAGAGTGCTGGAGCTGCGGGAGGAGCTCCATCGTGCGGAGACTGAGCTGGACTCGTTGAAGAAGCAGTGGGCCTCGTCCGAGAGGACCAAGAAGCGAGCGGAGATTAGCTATCGGGCAGAGCCTTTGATCCCGCTGCGATCCCCCGATCAGACTCCGGAGCGCTCGCATCGTCGAGACCCCAGTCTGAGCGGCTCCGCGAGCCCCTCGCTGGCGCACGCACGACTCAGCCGGGAGCTGGATCGCCGCCACAGTCTGCGCGCAGCGGCAACCCAAGGCACGACCGTCTCAGCCAATGGACGACGGGTGTTCCGGGGCTCTCACACCCGGACCCTGTCCTTGCTGTCGCCGGTGTCGGTTTCTGGAGACGGCAGGGCCGCATCGGAGTCGGAGACCAACTCGGTGAATGGTCGTATCGGCCGGTCTCCCCGGTCAGCTACTCTGCCGTCGTCTGTAGAGCGCAGTGCAGGTTCCGGCGACTCCTCCAAGCCTACCGAGGACATGATCGCGCAGTGGCGAAACACCATGCCTCCTCCGTCTCGTGAGGCGCTGATGCGCACCGGCAAGCAGATGGCGTCCGACCTGCGCGAGGGGCTCTGGACATTCTTGGAGGATATCCGACAAGCGACCGTGGGAGAAGAAGGCATCAGTGCGACCGAATCCCGGGGCGTACCTCCCGTACGCAAGCGGGATTCATCCAGCTCGACATCGCGAAGCAGAGACCGGTTATCCATGCAGGGGGGCAGAACGTCACGCGCGGGGACAAATTATTCTGGTAAAGACTCCAACTCGGCGGACATTGACGCGTCGTTCTGGAGTGAATTCGGCATTGATACAGCTGGGCAGAAGTCCCGGAGCGCTCGCGGAGCCTCCAGTACCCCAAGCGGGCGGATCGAACAGGGCGACTCCCACACCCCCGATGTTGAAGACAACTGGGAGTGGGACTCGCCGAAGAAGACACACACGCCGTCGTCCAGCCGCTCCACGTTGGAGTCGAAGCAGGACCAGTCGCCGATGACGCAGAGCAGCAGTCCACGTACAAGTACCAGGTAGGTCCTAACCAGTGTTTATATCTTTCGTAGGCATCTGTCCTCGCCTTGGCCCTTGACAGTGATACGCTGACTGGCACTAGTTTTGGCGACTGGCGCGCCCTGCACGAGTCTATTGTTCCCGATCCCAGTGTCTCCGACGGTATCCCTTGGCCAGCCATTACCAAGCTGGCGCCCTCGAAGTTGACCCGGACCGCGTCCAACCTGATGGCCGAATGGGAGCGCAGTCTCTCCCCCGAACGAAAGGAACCCTATTCGCCGATAGACAAGGACGACAAGCGTGACTGATTGCTCGATTATTTTGAATGTGCCGTTCGATTACGGCTTTCGATTATTTCTTCCAATGCTATTGTAAATATGGACACGATATGTGCGACCGAGCAGAGACCGACGGATTAACGCAGGGTTATGAATGTTGCAATACCCTTTACGATGAGCGTTGATTTCACTCTTTACCTTCTTGCATGTTTTAGAATGTATTTATGTCAGAATGTACTGGCTGTAAAAACAGTTACTTATTGCCTACATTTAGCTATCTTGCTCTGTATTAGTAGGGGTAGTAGAGAGTATCCGTATAGTATCGTGAAATCCCGGGATATCACGTGATACTGCAACTCTGGCACGTTCCGCGTCCCGTAAAAATAAATTTGCGCCTGTCGCCATCTCCGCAAAAAGTCCGGGGGGATGCGATAATCGGCCGTCTGTCTACACCACTCACTACCACCGTGTCGCGGAGCTCCTCCACCACTCCAGCCTCCGTATCAATCCTTCTCGAGCTCCACCACATACCTTAGACACTAAAACAACATACACAATGAACCCCGCTGGCATGACCACGCCGATGGGCGGCCTCGGCGGCGCCCCCGGCGCAGCAGGACCCAACATGCAGGGTATGAGTGAGCAAGAACAAGCCATGGTGAAGATGGTACACTTCCCCCTACCCCTTACCCTCTCCCTTCTACATCAGAAAACCAAGCTAACACAATAATAATGATGATGATAGATGTACTCCGCCATGGAATCCTGCCCCATGAAGACCGTCATGGCCGGAACAATGGGTTTCGGTCTGGGTGGTGTATTCGGTTTGTTCATGGCTAGCGTACGCCTGTCCCCCATTTCCATACCCTCCCTTCTCTCCCAAATAAATCCAGACTAACAGATACATGGTATATGTGTAGATGTCCTACGACTCCACCTTCACGCCGCAAGGCAAAGCGATCGCCGACCTCCCTTGGAAAGAGCAAGTGCGGAGGGGATTCAAAGACATGGGCCAGCGGTCATGGTCTAGCGCGAAGAACTTCGGTGTCGTAGGTGCGCTGTACTCCGGCACTGAGTGTTGTATTGAGGGCTTGCGGGCCAAGAATGATCTTACGAATTCGGTTGCGGCGGGTTGCATTACTGGTGGGATTCTGGGTGCGAAGGCTGGTCCCCAGGCTGCGGCGGCGGGGTGTGCGGGTTTTGCGGCGTTCAGTGCTGCGATTGATGCTTATATGAGGATGCCGGAGAAGGATGATTGAGTTATTTCCCGAGACTCCGAAGGAGAGAATGGGGGAGGTGGGGAAGAAAGGGAGGGTGTAATGTGGGTTGTGTTTGTTTTTCATGGGTGGCGTTTGGGATGGGTGCATTTTATGGCGTTTACTTTATTTTATTTCTATCTCGGATGATGTTAGTTGATTGATGTTGATAGACTACATGGTTTTGAGGTTGTGGTTGAGGGGTGGGGATGGATGGATGGATGGTCTTGACTCGACTCATTGTATATTATTACTACTGTGTATAGATAGAATAGATCTCTTTGCAGCGGTGTCACTATTCGTATAGTCGTGGGATTGGTAAATGTAGATTACCAGCAGTCACTAAGTAGAAGTTATATTGTCAAACACTAGTATCGAAGTATGTAATGACGTCAAGTCAACAATGATATAAATATAGAGGTACTACTAGTACGTACTGAAATATATTTATGAAGCAGGGTACTACAAAGTATATTATTTTATTACTATTGAAAAACGACTAGTAGAGTGTCCATAACTGTTGACAATTCGTTGTAACCGTAGATACTTTTTATAAACTTTTCTATCTTTGTATGATTCCTGGGCACGAATGCCATTATCTGCTATATTCAATGTCTGTCAATGGTGAGTTAAATTCGGTTTGGAAAGTAGGTAAGGAGAGGGATAATAGTAAAGGGCTATTGGGTTTTAGTTCTATGAATGTTGGAGTTGGGTGTGTTGGGTTCAGTTTATGTGGTGTGGATCTATAAATATATAAACTACTACATACTAGTGGGTTATGGGTAGTATCATCATGAGTCCCATTGAAGTACTATTACTTACTACTATTACTGCGCGGCTGAATTCAAAGAGTCCGTTCTAGCATACATCATGTCTATTCACCATTTGATAACTGATTTACATCTAAGGCAGCACAACATAGCGCTCCAAATGCTTCGGCACCGCGCCACGCAGTCCCTTCGTCTGCAGCCACGTGTTGGAGAACAACCGGTCCGCATAGCGGTAAGCACCATCACACAAGATAGTAACAACCGTGTTACCCCTGCCCAGCTTCTTCGCCACTTCCTGCGCGGCCACCACATTCAACGCCGAGCTGGCACCGAGGTACAGACCCTCCTCATCCAAGCAGCGGTACACCATCTCAATCGACTTCTCGTCAGGGATGTTAAGCGATCCGTCCAGCAGACCAATATCCGGCTGCAGGTTATCCGTGACACGACCCTGGCCAATACCCTCAGTGATACTGCTACCGGAGCGCTCGACCAAGTTCCCACCGCTCTGGATATAGCTGTGCAACACACTACCCGGAGGATCGGCAAGGAAACTCTTCACCTTCCCGTCACTGACGGTCTTCAAGTAGCGCGTAATACCAGCCAAAGTACCACCGGTACCCGTAGCACAAGTGAAAGCGTCAATTTGACCGTTCGTCTGCGCCCAGATCTCCGGACCGGTCGTCTCGATATGCGCCTGGCGGTTGGCAGTGTTGTCGAACTGGTTAGTCCAGACAGCGTTATCCAGGGACTCGGCGTGCCGACGTGCCTGGTGGTTGTAGTTCTGCGGGTTGTCGAATGCGACGGCGGGAACGGGGTACACTTCGGCGCCGAGGAGACGTAGCAGGTCGATCTTGCCCTGCGATTGGGTGTTCGGCATGTAGATGACGAGCTTGTAGCCCTTGGAGCGGCAGACGTGCGCGAGTCCGATTCCGGTGTTTCCTGCCGTGCCTTCCACCACTGTACCGCCGGGCTTCAGGAGGCCCTTTCGCTCTGCATCCTCGACGACGAATAGAGCTGCGCGGTCCTTGACGCTGCCTCCGGGGTTCTGGAACTCGGCCTTGCCGAGGATGTTGCAGCCGGTTTCTTCGGAGAGCTTCTTCAGTCGGATCAGGGGGGTGTTGCCGATTGCTGCGGAGGGTGGTTAGTTATGCGGTTGAGTTGCCGGTGGTAGACGGGTATGGGTGCATATATACCTTCCGTGAGGCCGTTGGTGAAGCCCTGGGCCTTGGATACCCGGACATTGTAGGAGGTTGTTGATGCCTCCGCGGCGCGAAGGGCCGTTGTGCCAAATCGACGGATACTCTGACGAAACATGCTGTCAATGGCTCGCTAATTGTCAAACCCAGAACGCCTGGATGCTGAGAGAGGAACGCAGCGATTCCCCAGATTGTCCGCATGCCGATGATCGGTGTTAGTAAGCTACGTCACGTGGTCGATGGCGTGATTGCTTTCACTGCCTTGACTGGGGATTCCATGATGAAGCTGACATTGGCACCTGTATTGTATTGTGTTTGTATGTTGATAGCCGTGAAAAGGATAATGTTTAGCCCAGTCTTGTGTGCATGTTCAGTATAATGACATCACATTCAGTGTGAACTGCATGTTTCTCGTACAGCCCAGTAATCTTCTGTAGATTGAAACCACGTGCAGCCCTAGCCCTTATCAGCCTTCCCGTTTGGGCTGTTTGTTTATCCAGCCCCGTGACAGCCTCCGCAATGTTTGGATCGGAACAGCATCAGTCTTTCTCCTGAACACATCGAACTCTTGCACACGCCAGACACGCTTTGGACGGACGACGCGTTAAGATCCATCGATGCAACTGATTTAGGATGATTCATGACGACTATTGACTCCCGACCCCTTACTGAACTGTCTGAGACGAGACATCTACCCCGCCATTGAGCCACCATGCCTGGCCGATCCGCCCGTTCAACGTCCACCGCCACGCGCAAGACCTCCGCTCAGCCCTCGCGCGCAGGCTCAGTGACCCCGTCTTTCACTATCCCCGAGGAGCCTTCGCTTCCAGAGGCGATTCCCACTTTGCGCCGCGATGTATGCTCTCTTTTCGCCGATGCGCAGCGCTCGACAACCGGACATCGGAAACTCGTCGTCCGACTGAGGAAGCTCCAAGAAGCTTGCTGCGGCATATCCCAGAAGAGCTCCAAGAAGGATGGCAGCAAGTCCCAAGCAGAATGGACGCTTCCTATGGAAGAGACTCTGCCCGAGACGGAGTTCAACACGGAGGTCGGCCGTTGCGTTCTGCGCATTCTCCCTATCAAGAAATCAGAGCCGGTCGGAGACCGCATTCTACGCTTTCTCGGCGCATTCCTGGCATTGGCTTCCGAGAAGGACGCAGAGCTATATGCTGCGGATGACGACGATGAAGATATGCAAAACTCGCCTGAAACGCCCACTTCCCGCTTGACTACCAGTTTGATCAACATAATCGTTCCCTTACTAGCAACCAAAGACAAGACAGTCCGCTTTCGCGCCACCCAAATCATCGCCCACATTGTCAACTCCCTCGAAACGATAGACGATGACCAATACCACGCCATTCGCGGCGGTCTTGTGAAGCGTATTAGAGACAAAGAGCCTGCCGTAAGAGTGCAGGCTGTTATGGGACTTGGCCGTCTCGCAGGCAACGACGACGAAGATGACGATGACAGCAAGGCTGTGCTCGAGCGACTCATCGATATTATGCAGAATGATACCAGTGCCGATGTACGAAAGACCCTACTTATAAACCTCCCTCTGGTGCCGGGCACCCTGAAATATCTCCTGGAACGAGCCCGCGATCTCGATGCCGCCACTCGACGTGCCTTGTACTCGCGTCTTCTTCCCACCCTTGGTGACTTCCGGCATTTGTCGCTGTCTATGCGAGAGAAGCTTCTTCGGTGGGGTCTCCGTGACCGTGACGAGAGCGTTCGCAAAGCCACGGGTAAATTGTTCTACGACCGCTGGGTTGAAGACTGCGCTGGCACCAACAACGACCCCGGAGCCGGACCTACAGGCCAACGCTCCCCGCCGAACTTCAACGGGCTGCTTGAGCTCCTCGAACGAATTGATGTTGTCAACTCCGGAGTAGAGTCTGGAATTGCACATGAAGCCATGCGTAGCTTCTGGGAAGGTCGCCCGGATTATCGGGAGGCGGTTGTTTTCGACGAGCCTTTCTGGGAGAACCTTACCGCGGAATCGGCCTTTATGATCCGGTCTTTCAGCGACTTCTGCCGCGTTGAGAATGAAGGGAAGTACGACAAGCTTGCAGACGAGAAGATGCCCGAAGTCACAGCCCTTGCGTTTTACCTACATAAGTACATGACCGATCTGTTGCAGCGGAAGAAGATCGCTAAAGAGACCGGGGATGCCAATGATGACGATTCCGTGGAGCAAGAATTCATCGTGGAACAGTTGTTGCATATCTCCATGACTCTGGACTACAGTGATGAAGTTGGACGGCGCAAGATGTTCTCCCTACTGCGTGAGTCGCTTGCCGTACCAGAACTCCCTCAGGAGTGCACCAAACTTGCTGTCGAGACCCTGCGATGTGTTTGCGGCCCCAACGCTGCTGCTGAGAAGGAATTCTGTAGCGTTGTTCTGGAAGCCATTGCTGAAGTCCACGACACTATTGTGACTGAGGACAGCTTCGTGTCTGCAAGGTCAGAAATCAGCGATGCCAGCTCCACCCGCCACCGATCCGAGACCCCTCAGTCCGAAGAAGAGAAGCCTTTCAACAAAGAGGAGGCTAAAGCGAAGGTACTGAAGGAGATCATGGTCAACATGAAATGTTTGCACATTGCGCAGTGCATGCTGCAGAATGTCGAGGGCAACCTCCAAGCCAACATGAACTTGGTGACTATGCTTAACAACCTTGTTGTGCCTGCCGTTCGAAGTCACGAGGCCCCTATCCGTGAGAGGGGTCTTGAGTGTCTGGGTCTTTGCTGTCTACTCGATAAGGTAGGAACTATTCTATGAAGTGCTTACAATGGTCTACTAACGGTTCTACAGACTCTGGCTGAGGAAAACATGACTCTCTTCATCCACTGCTTCAGCAAGGGCCACGAGGCTTTGCAGGTGACTGCCATCCACATCTTGTGTGATATGCTGACAACGCATCCCACGTTGCTTGTGCCTGTGGAACAAGATGACGGCGAGACCGTGGCGCCGCCAGTTTTCCAGAAGCCATTGTTAAAGGTCTTTGCCCGGTCGCTGAAGTCCAGCTCGCCTAACAGCGTGCAAACAGCTGCCGCTACAGCGCTCTCGAAGTTGTTGCTCACGAACACGTTCACACCAGCGGGGGCGAACATCCCCCCGGCCATTCAGGAATATAACCAGACTTCCGTCGAGACTCTCCTGCAGTCACTTATCCTTTCCTTCTTCCATCCTCGTACTCGGGACAACCCTGCGCTGAGACAGGCCTTGGCCTACTTCTTTCCCGTGTATTGCCATTCACGACTGGAAAACACCCAGCATATGCGAAAGGTCGCGGTTCCCGTGATCCGGGCCACGCTGAATGCCGCCGAAGAATATTACTCGCTCGAGGCTGAGGAAGACAGTGACGGTGATATAGATGAGTCGGTGGGCCAGCGGGAGCTGAAGGCATTGATGACCGGCGTTGTGGGTATGCTGGCTGAGTGGACTGATGAGCGGCGGGTCGTCGGACTGGGCGGGGAGAGGATCCTTGCGGGTGGTCCGGCCAACGCCAATGCGTGCGGCTTCGTCCACCTTGCACTGGTCAAGGATATCCTCGAGCGGGTGCTAGGAATCAGCACCGGTACCAACCGTTGCTCCAAGGAAGAGAAGAAGCTGCTCTTCTCCCTTATGAGCAAGCTCTATATCGCTCCTCCGGTCGTTCCCTCGCGGTCCGGGTCCCGGGCTCCTGAAGGCGAGGATCCGTTCAGTTCCAGCGTTCGCAGTGCGCAGGCGGAAATCACGCCCGAGAATAAGGAACTGGCGCAGGAGGTGAAGGAGCTGCTGGATGAGGCGATCGAGGAAGGCGTGGCCGCCGAGGCCGCCGGGCGGAACGCGCTCGTCAAGGTCAAGAACGCGGTCCTCAAGCTTCTGGCCGCGGCTCATGGGGGACGCCCGACCAGTGGGCGAGCCCGCGAAGGCATGGAAGAAGGCGATAGCGATGTTATGAGCGTGCGGTCGAACATGAGCGTGCGGTCTGGTAGTGTGCGGCCATCCATTGAGCCCGGGACCATGCGGCGGGGCTTCTCACTGGAGCCAAGTATCATCGAAGAAGAGGATGAGAACGACGATAGCCGGACCACGATTGTGAAGTCGGAAGGTCAAGATGACGAGTGAATCCGTAGATAGTTGGACATGGGATTGGGAAAGGCGTTTGAGGAAGGTTCACCCGGTGCGTTGGGATGGATTGGCTTGACATGGGACGGGCCGTGTAGTTAGGTGTTTGGTTACGAGTGTACATGATGTTTCTAGTTGGTTGACACTTAATCTCATGATGATATTTGCTACGTGTGGTTGGTGGGCTATCCTGGTTCATAGGCGGAGCTTGTAGGGGAAACGTCAGCCTGGCCCATGGCTGGCTTAGTACTTGTGACTGGGGGGGGGGGGTGGGGGAGAGGGAATCGTGTGATCTGGAACGTGGACCAGGCGGTAGCTTACTGGAGCGGCGCTAGTGGCAGTTTTAGACCGGGATGAGCTGGAATTAGTACAGTCATGGCCTGATATGGATGGCGCGTGGTGATAAGTCCTTCGGGGTTTGGGGAGTAAGCCTGGTCTATCGGTCGAGAATATACAGTCTTCCTCAATGAATCAATACAGAGTAGCACCGTCTTCGCAATTAATTGGTTACTTTGTATATATACTGTCAATGAATTGCAAGGCACATCAAACGATTAAGACTATCCCTTTATTTCTTGAAGTTACTCCGTATTTGTTGGTAATTAATAATTAATTCAGACAGAACCCAATCACGGAATCCCTCGCCCAGCAACTTACAATCTTTCGGATGCGAAGTCTGGCGGATAGTGGGCCCTTCCACATCCTCTCATTGGCCATCGCCCACAGGCACCTCCACCGAAACACTCGCGTTTTTCTCCTCTCACATTTTTTTTCTCTCTTTTTTCCCTTATGCTTTGGTTGTGGAACAGATCGAATAAATCCATTCAATTGACTTTGCTTTGACATTCCATCCTTTTACCTTCCCCCTCCTTCTCCTTCCCACCCCCAAACCTGGCACGGCCATATTAGTATCTGGGCACGCACAGAGCAACTTGGATAGTAGTAGATAGTTACTAGTAGGTTTGTTAGACATGTAGAATACGTAAAGTTAGTAGGTACTTTGTACTTACTGTTATTGCCACGCTACTTTACTAATACTTCCTCTTCATGTCGTCAGCAATAACATTATCATCATCATTAACTTGTTTCTTGCTTGACCTTTGCTGCCTGGAGGGGAAAATATATCCAGGGTTTAAGGTTAATGGGAATGGATCAGCCTTTGGGGGGAAGTCGAGCTTTTCCTTTTGGCGGCGGGCGTCGGGTCGGAGATACCGTCAAGAAACAAAAAAGTACGGGTTTCACTCCGGACATTCCACACACAACACATCTTTCAATTAGCCCTTGTGTCTAATCACTGTGATTCGGTACTATCATTACTATTTATATAGTTGTTTCATGAAGGGAGGAGAAGGAGAGAGCCTGGGGATGATCCGACATTCCAGAGGCACGATTCAATGGGGGTGTGAGATGTTTTATCATTGGCTCTGGGGGTGGTTCACGGTGATCGGGATGGTTCGTTGATTTGACAGGTGATTATCGTAAGTAGTCAGTAATATTAATAAACATTTAGACTGTTCCGTCGTGTTCAATGTGTTGGTAAAGTATGGCGAATGTCGGATGTGTGTGTGTATGTATGTAAGTATGTGTGTGTCTTATGTGTGTCAATTAACCAACATGAATCAATCAATGATTCTTTGCAGCGGTGTCATGTTTGGTTGTATTCTGACCAGACCGACAGATACAGATACAGATACAGATAGACACCTTGGGGGAGAAGTGAAAGAATAAATAGTAGCAATGACTGATTATACCGCTGCGGAAACAACTGAGAGAGGCTGTTGTACCAGACCTGTCATACAATACGGTAAACGGTCAGTTGTGGGATGTATCGAGTTAGTTAGTAGTAAGTAGTGTATCCTCTTTCTCTCTCCCCCGTGGAAATTCTCAGGAGAGGAAACCAGATAGTAAAATCTATTCGATTGTTCCGAATTCCACCAGAAAAAAGTAAAACAAAAGACTGTGAAGTTCGGACTTTGTGTAGTAGATCTGGAAAGGAATTGATTCCAATCCTTTCAATTATTCTCACATATAATCAATCACTTAAACCAGTCGGCGTTGACCCGTAGACGCCGTCCAGTTGGGCCAGGATCCCCTCGAAGCCGAAACTTTTCTTTTAATCTCGACGCTCCACCACCAGAAAAGCGAACTTGTCCTGCTTTCCCATCCTGGCCTGGGGACTTTCTTTTTCCTTCCTTCCCTTCTTCCCTTTCGATCTTCTGCTTTCTCCTCCTCCCCCCCCTCCTCCGTTCTCTCCTCTTTCTTCCTCTTTCCCTTCCCCCCCGTGATCTTTTTTCTTTTCTTCTCTTCACGGCGGTCTTTTACCCCCCTCCTTCTCCCTCCCGGTCGTGAACCCGTGTCGCCTGCTGTGCCTGCAGAGACACGTTTTTTTTCCTTTCTCCGACCCGTCCCTTTCCCTCCCTCCTCCCTCCCTCCTCCACCCTCCCCTGCCCGCTCCGTTGGCCGTGAGATTCAGCCAACGTCTAGACAACAACCGTGAGCGATGGCCGTTTCAGCACCCACCCCCAAGTTGGATCGCTACATTGTTATCCACGTTGCGACCACCTGCGACGAACATGGAGTCTACGTCACTAAGGACTCTGCTGAAGTGATTGAGTTGGGGTGGATCTTGTTGGATACCAAAACCTGCGAGGAGGTACGTCGGCTTGATTATTTTATTATCTCTCGTTCATCCATTCATTGCCCCAGCCTTTTTCCCCCTCCTCCTTGACAAATTCCCCTCCCTCTCGGATGCTTATCTGCCGTGCTTCCCTGATCAACCGAGACCACTCAAACCTCCCCAACAAGAGGATCCTCCATGATGTACTATTTGCTGACACTGTTTCCTTCCTCGGCTTAGTTGCACCATGAAAGCGTTCTTGTCAAGCCCGTCAACACCCCCATCACGCCTCTTTGCAGTAAGTGCACCCCGTTCGAACGCAGCCTACCCAATCACCCAACAATGCCTCCTCTCCTTCTCTCGTACCTCACTCCGTCCCTCCGCATCCATCCGTCCCTTGGTTCAATGGCTGACGGTCTTTGAAAGCGAGCTTGACGACTCTGACATGGGAACACGTCCGCTCGGCAGGCACCTTCCGCGACGCCATCAACCGCTTCGACGCTTTCGCCCAGGAACACCTCATCAGCAAGAACCTGGAATTCGCCTTCGTGACGTTGGATTCATGGGATCTTCGTGTGCAGCTGCCCCGTGAGGCTCGGGACAAGGCAGTCGTGCTTCCGGCATACCTTCAGCACTCCCGGACATTCGACCTCCGCACCGAATACCAGCGATGGCAGACTCACCACCCCGAGTCTCTGCCCTTCGGCCCCAGCTCTCTCTCCAACATCTGCGCCGCCCTCGAGGTTGAGCCCGTTCAGTCTTCCGCTCCCATCAAGCACAACCTTCCCTTCCACCTGCAGGCCTTGGCTCCCGCCTCTCCCCGTCGCGCCATGGAGGAGGCTATCACCTTGGCCAGAGTGCTGCGCGGCTTGATCCGGAAGTCTCAGCCCCCACATGAGCACCCCGAGATCCTCACCCGCCCCATGGATGCCAGAGCGGACGTTCGTGCCTTCCTGGCCGAGCGCAGCAAGGTTCTTCATCTGAGCGGACTCCCCCACGATACCACCCAGTCCGAGCTGGAGAGCTGGTTCACTCAGTTTGGCGGTCGTCCGATCGCATTCTGGACCCTCCGCACCCCGGATCAGCACAAGCCTACCGGCACCGGCTTTGCGGTCTTCTCGTCCCACGAAGAGGTATGAACCGGCTTACTATCTTTCACTATCCTCAGAACTTAAGATCAGATATCTAATTTGTTTCCACGCAGGCTGCCGAGAGCCTTTGCATGAACGGCCGTGCTCTGAACGAAAAGGCCATCGAGGTGTCTCCTTCCTCCAGCCGTGTCCTGGACCGTGCCGCGGAGATCCTGACGCCTTTCCCTCCCTCCAAGAACCGCCCTCGTCCTGGCGACTGGACTTGCCCCTCATGTGGATTCTCGAACTTCCAGCGCCGTACTGCATGCTTCCGCTGCTCGTTCCCGGCTATGGCCGCTGCCCCCGATCCGATGGGATACGGCTACGGCTACGGCCCCCCGTCCATGATGCCTCCTCACATGGGCCACGGCCACGGAATGGGCCATTCCCGCGGCATGGGCGGCAACGGCGGTGTGGTGCCTTTCCGTGCTGGTGACTGGAAGTGTGGCTCCGAGGGCTGCGGTTACCACAACTTCGCCAAGAACATCAATTGCCTGCGTTGCGGTGCTCCTCGGTCTGGAGCAGCAGTGGTGGCCGACTCCGCTTTCCCGTCCCCGATGGATCCTCCCTCGAGCTTTGGCATGGGCCCGAACTCCATGACCAGCACCCCGGCTCCTGGTCCCTTCGCGGCTAGCACTGGTAGCTTTGGCGGCTTTGGTCAACAGTTTGCCGCGCCCCCTAACAACTATGCTGCCGCCTTGCCTTCGGGCTTGGGAAGCGCCCCGGCCGCATACCCCCCTATGGGTCAGATGAACGCTGGTTATGGCTCCGCGAATGCTTCCCATTCCGCGGCCTCGTTCGCCAACCCGGCCGCCCAGGCTGCCTTCACGGGGGCTGATCACAACTCGTCGACCAGTGCGTCCAACGGTGCCTTCTACGGCAATGATGGCTCGAGCGATCCGTTTGCCTTCCTCTCGACGGGCTTGGGAGGTTTGACTGTGGGTGAAGATGCCCACTCTCGTCGCAACGGCGCCAGTGCGAACAAGTCCCCCGCGTAAAAAAGTTATGAAACAGCAATGTTGTTTCAGCCGGGGACATTAGAGATTTGTTTTCTACGACGGTTCTCCCTCACGGTTTTTTGTCCATATGGTGGTCTGGATATGTTGGTATATGTGACGGTTGGTATTCCGTTGATGCGCATTTGTATAAGGAATTCTGCAGTTCTGGTGCATTAGGTTGGGAGGAGCAGGCCGGTAGCGTGTCGTCGTTTCGTCCGATTTGGTCCTTTCTGTTTTTGCCTGGTCTCGCAGATTTGACGTCAGACCATTTTCGGTATGTCTTACTATTGTGTCTTTGCAAGCGATGTTTGAGGGTATAGAAGAAGACCGCCCGGGCAGGTGGGCCCAGGCGGTCCTATGCGCTTCTTCACCACCTGCTGGATCATCGTTTCGCGTTTGTTGTTGGTTCTCATTTCTTTTTTTTTCTTTCCTTCTTGGAGCGGCATGGGCTTCGCGCATTTCTCTCGTCATGGGCGCATACTTCCTCCGGCGGAGGGGAGGAACTCCTGTCCGGCTAGCCGCGGCGCTGGCGAGGAAGGGCTCGAGCATGGCATTGCATTCTAGATATTGTCTTTTTTTTTTTTTTTTTTTTTTTTCTTTTCCTCTTTTTCCTTTTTTTATTTGTTGGCTTTCCGAGTTCATCTGCGCGCTTCGACAATAGGGATCATTGGAGAATCACGGTATTGATCATGGTTGGGATACAATGGAACGGACTCTGTTGGGGGTGTTGGGGTATTCCTTTTGAGCCAGCAAAATTTCAACCAGCTACGACGGATTTGGGACATCTGCGAGGCACATGGATTGGGAGTCGTGCGTGCGACAAGATTGTTCTGAGTGTCCATAATTCTTGTACTGTTCTTCATCTTACTTATACTGTTCTCGTCTTGTGTTTACATATGCTTTCCCTGCGGGTTTTGTCGTTCCCTCCTTCAAAAGTCGAGACGTGATTATTGGTTTAACTAGCCCGATGCCTGCATTCTCTCGTATCGCCTTTCAGCGTGTGATGTACAGCATGGTCCGATCTCAGCTAGGCAGGGAGTCATGGGCGATTGGGGTGTAGATCAACTATATGAAAATTCTCTTTTATCGAGCCTGTTGATATTTATGCATTGGTCGTCATGATCGATTGGTGGATGATTAGGTCAGTGCTAGGAAGAATTCACGGTACCATTAGAGAAGTATTTTCTTTTTATAATTTCCAGTTGTGGTCATTTCTAAAGTGGCTACTGTCTACTGCGTGGAATATGCAAGCACTAGAGGCAAGAGTTGTACTAGTAGTAGGATGGTCGGGGAGAACCAGCAGGAGGGAGAGCGTCATGGCGGCTAGCCGCGCGCCAAGCGCTTGGGAGCTCTCAAGGCAGCGGCGGGCCTCGCGTCCACCTCCATCTGTCATCGCCCAGCCGGACACCGGACCCCAGCATTCTACGACCCAAGACTCCGAATTGTATCTATTTGACCTCCTACTTTCTTCCGTGAACCCTATTCCAGTCTCCTTTCTCTCAGAAACCCCTAATCTCGCCTACTGCCCATAATGTCTGGATATGACCGAGCTCTTTCAGGTAAGACAAGCTAGCTACTACCTTGGCTACGGGCCTGGTTGATGAAGGGATTCCCCATTCTAACCTCTTCGCAGTCTTCAGGTATGAATCTCTAGCTTTATGAAGCTCTAGCAAACACATCCTAACCCGCCCTCAGCCCCGACGGGCACGTCTTCCAGGTGGAATACGCCATGGAAGCCGTCAAGCGAGGTACGTCCAGCCCCTCCGACCCCAAGGGAATCCTCCCATCCATCAATCACATCATAACTCACCTATTCTCTCCCTTTGCATCTATCCAGGAACCTGCGCCGTCGGAGTAAAAGGCAAGGACGTGGTCGTTCTCGGCTGCGAGAAGCGCTCCGCACTGAAGCTCCAAGATACCCGCATCACACCGTCCAAGATCGCCATGGTGGATAACCACGCCGTCCTGGCTTTCGCCGGTCTGAACGCCGACGCCCGCATCCTTATCGACAAAGCCCGTCTAGAAGCTCAGTCCCACCGTCTGACTGTTGAAGACCCCGTCACTATCGAATACATTACGAAGTACATTGCTAGTGTGCAGCAGCGGTACACGCAGAGTGGTGGTGTTAGACCCTTTGGTATCAGTACCCTGGTCGTCGGATTCGACCCCAATGATAAGACGCCCCGGTTATATCAGACTGAGCCTTCGGGGATTTATTCCGCTTGGTGGGTGTTCCTCCTATGCTTTTGGGTGTTGATGATGTAGGGATGGGTTGAAACTGACGATGGCTTCGGGATATTAGGAAAGCAAATGCTATCGGACGCTCCAGCAAGACTGTGCGCGAGTTCCTCGAACGCAACCACCAGGATGAGATGGATCGCGAACAGACTATCCAGCTCACTATCAAGTCGCTGTTGGAGGTTGTGCAGACCGGTGCGAAGAACATCGAGGTGGCTATCATGTCGCCTGGGCAGTCGATTGAGATGCTCCCGGATGACCAGATCGAGGCGTACGTTAAGAGCATAGAGACGGAGAAGCAGGAGGAGGCGGCTAAGAAGAAGACGGGTCGCGGTGGCACCACGACGGCTGCTATCCTAACACGGCCTGGTGGCGGCGAGGGCAGCGAGAGCCGGGAGTAAGGTGGATGCCATGCCGTTCAAGTAGAGGCTACGTCGAATCAGCAACGATGAGACTCTCGTTGCGGGGTGTGCTTTCTATCCGGTTAATTGTCTAGGGATCTTGCAAGAAGCGTTACGTCCTTTTTCACGAAAATAAACTCCGTTATACTGTAATGCAGATGTGCTCCGGATCTATATGAAGCTCTAGGTTCAAGGTGATATACAGGGATTATTTAGGTAAAGTGTAGTAGTAGTGTGTATGCATGATTTCGTAAATCTCGTTCATCGACCCATCGTTTCAGGGTCAGGCGTCTAACCCAAGCGATCGGAAATATCCTTGAAGTTGAAGATGGAGCGTTCCTGGTGTCCGCGAACACGGTCGTCTTTGAGCATTCTACACGAAGTCAAATACGTCAGTTAATCCCCAACACAGAATAGACGGGTATAGGGGGGGGTCACTGACCTGGCATCAATTCTCGCATCCTCACCCTCGACCTGCAACGTGGGAGTCGGCGTCACAGCGTCAATCACGAAATGGTTATCGCAGTGCGGGCAGTACTCGTCACTAAATCCGGATAAAATAGGTGTCAAGTCAATTCAACCATTCGTGTAACCTCTTTCTACCCCCTCCCCCTTTATCTTCCTCTCTCTCCCTCTTTTTATAGATATGGGCCAGCCCCTCCGGTTTATCATCCCAGTACTAAGGGCAGCAGGTGTGGGGGCGGGTGACGACGACCGGACGCACCTCTCATCAAACTCCGTCGCGTCCTTCCGGAAACATTTCTTGCATTTCTTGCAGGCGAAGACCTAGATTTTTGGGATTCATTTGGTTGGTGATTTAGAGTTTGTGGTAGGTAGGTAAGGTAAGTGAAAATATACCATTTCAGTGGTTTTGGTGAGTGAGTGCGATTCTTGTTCTTGGTGGCATTCGGCGCAGTCGAACCATTTTTTGCCTGTCACGGATACACCAGGAATAATTAGATTTGGCTCTGAGGAGAAGGGAGATGAGGGCTTACAGCAGGGAGAGCGGATGGCCACTTGGGCGTTCAGGATGTGTTTACTGGTTTTTTGAGGATTATTGGTGAGTTGGGTTCAAGCTGGTGAATTAGAGAGGATGGGGGTGAGGGGTATGGTTCATACCACATTTTCTAGAGTTTATACACGGGGGGTTCTGGGTATAGAAGGAGAGAAAAGTAAATATAGACAAGTTTCAAAAGACACAAAGATGTCTTGAATGTGGTGGGAAGTTGGAGTAAAGTATGCAGTGGTTCAGGTCGGGGCGAGGCTAAAAATAAAGAACGATTGATGGATGGATGGATCCATCCATCCATTCATTCATTCCTCTCCCTCCATCAATGCATATCACGCGCGGGTCGATCATCGCCTCGCCTCGCTGGGTTTCTTCTCTCTCTCTCCCCTTTCCTTTCCTTTCCTTTCCTTCCCTACTACTACTACTTACTCCTCAACTTCCTCTTGTCGGTTTGGGTGACTTCATCTCCCGGTGATTCCTCTCTTTTTCCCGCCCATCCTCTTCTTGTCTCTTCCTTCTACTCTTCCTCCTACTCGTCCTCCCCACTCTTTGGATCCCTCCCTTCCTCCGTCCTTCCCCCCCTCCTCTCTCTCCACACATTCACTGCTCAATTCCTCCCATCGCTCCGATTTTCATCTGATACTGTCCAGGCCATCCTCCACGTCCTCCGCAGAGTAGGATCACCAGCTCTAGACCCTTCTTATCCCTGCACGGCGTTTGGTTGTCTCTACTGCTCCTGAATTCCTTCCGCCTAAACTGGAGCTCCGCCACAATCGTCACTTCCGGCTCAACTCCCTGCCACCCGTTATCTTATCCAGTCTGGCCGTCAAATTTACTGTGCCATTTTCTTAGCCTCTCCCCAGTGGTAGTCTGCATTCATCGCAATTGGCGGAGCCTATGATCCATTCCTTTTCGCGGCCTGTTTGTTGGATTCGCTGTTGTGGCCATGGAGGGAAACGGCAAGCAAAAGGACGCCACGGATAATGCTCCGATTGTACGTTTGCGCCGGCCACTCCCCCCCGCTGTTCTGGAGCTTCATACTAATCTAACTGGCTTCTGTAGAGACCGGTGTCTTCCCTACTTTCGCATTTCGAGAATCTTTCGCATCGTCGGGCTCCATCCGCTGCTACAAACGGTTCACGCGATCCGCCGTCCTTCCTGAGAACGCCCGAATACGGTGATGATATCCGCTCCAACAGAGCCTCTCTTGATCTACCACGTCCACGATCTCCCTGGGGCTCAGTGCCGGAGGTGGAGAGAAGTCACAGCATCGTACATGGCAATGGTCTAGCCCCGCACTCTGAATCCCCCGGGATTTCCCCGGGCAGACGGCAGAACAGACCCATGTCGATGAACCTCCACTCGTCGCCGCAGTTGGCACCGACTCTGACGGTCGATTCCCCACGGTCTCCGCCGCGCGGGTTTGGAGCAGACCATGAGGAGGAAATCAGCTCGTCTCGCACCCCGCCGAACGCTTCCCGGGAGTCGCTGCCTACCATACCGCAAGGGATTCCCTCTGCTCATCGACCAACCACCCCCGTCTCTGCGTCTTTCCCTACGGAGAGTAAAGCGGATCGTTTGTCGCCAGGAACATCAGGCTCGATAGCAAATGGGCGCGAGAGTCCATCGGAACGCAAAGGCAAGAGCGTTTCCCTTCCCCCGCCTGCTAACCGGGCGGAGAAGCCCAAAATCCCCGCCAAACCGGCAGCATTGTCACACCACGAAGCCAGCTCTCTTGCCCCACAGCTTGAGCGTGCCTCCTCGGAAGACCGCGTATCGCCGTTCAGCACTCCTCCGAGCAGCCCCGAGAAAACATCCCCAAAACAACAACCCAATACCAGAGCGGTACCAATTCCGCGCTCGCCCTCCCGGCGCTCGCCAGCCCGTCCAGTACCTGGTCTTCCGACGCACCGGTCACTTGAGGAGAGGTCACCCGCTCCTCAGCCAGGTGTACACCGAGAGTCTTCGCTGAGGCGGCCAATTCCGGAGCCTCCCCGGGAGACGAAGCCGCTTATGGTCCAGATTCCTCCCAGGCATTATGTAGCGCCGGAGCCGCTGGCAACCGCCCCGCTCTCCAACTACAGGCCCCCGATGCCTGATCCGCAGGAGCGCCCCGGACTGCCTCCCCGACAGCCATCCCTGGCACGAAGGGGCGGTCCATCACCGTCGCGGCATTCATACCAGGTGGAAAGCCCGGCGTTCTCATTACCTCCCCCGACACCCTACCGCGAATCTCGGCCCCTTTATCGAGACGAACTACCCACTCCGACGCATGTCTCTCGACAGCCATCCATTTCCAGGGAGACTAGGCCCCTTTATCGGGATGAATTGCCAACCCCGACGCACGTATCGCGGCAGCCGTCCATTTCCAGGGAGACCAGGCCAGTGCCGCCCCCAGCTGTCCCGGAGCGCCCGATGCCAGAGAGGCCTATGTCAGAGCGTCCTATACCAGAACGGCCTGTGGTGGAACGTCAAGCAGTTCGCCCTATTCCCAGTGAGGATGAGCAGGTTCCGGATGAGACGCCAGTTGCTCGCACGGATTATCCAGATGCGTCTAGTGCAAACAGACGGCCACCGCTGCTTAAGTCTGGGCCTCAGGAGATTCACACGCGGTACGATACGCGCCTCATGGATGTGTGCGGAAAGCATGTGTGTACGACCGGCTACATTACGCGGGTCTGGGATCTTACGACTGGAGAGCAGATTATGAGTCTTAGCCATGGTGAGACAGTCAAATGTCTGTCGGTTGCATTTAAGCCAGGTTTGGGTCTGGAGGATGAAGGCCAACGCTTATGGTTGGGCACAAACTCCGGGGATCTGCACGAGGTCGACATTGCAACCCGGTCCATTGTCGCATCGCGGTCTTACCCTTCTCGACGGGAGATTGTCAAGATCTTGCGGCATAAGAAGGAAATGTGGACCCTCGACGATGAGGGTCGGCTGCTGGTATGGCCGCCAGATGAGACTGGAACGCCGAACCTCCAGTACAGTTACCACAACCCTTACGATCGGGTTGCCCGCGGGCATACGTTCTCGATGGTGGTTGGGGACCTTTTGTGGCTGGCTTCCGGCAAGGAGGTGCATGTCTATCAGCCAAATGCTCGTGATGATGTTTCGTTCAAGGTTCTCAGCAGGCCATTGGGCTTGCAGCATACGGGAGATGTAACTTCAGGCGCTTATACTACCAAGGATGGTGGACGTGTGTATTTGGGTCATGCAGATGGCAAGGTGACCGTATACTCAGCCCACGACTACACCTGTCTGTCTGTCGTCAATGTCAGTGTCTACAAGATCAACTGTCTGGGTATTGTGGGAGATTATCTGTGGGCAGCATACAAGACCGGCATGATCTATGTCTACGATACATCTACGAATCCGTGGACGGTGAAGAAAGATTGGCGTGCTCATGATAGCCCTGTCAGCGGGTTCTTGCTTGACTCTAGCAGCGTGTGGACAATGAACCGATTGCAAGTGACTTCGCTGGGAGACGACAACTGCATCCGTCTTTGGGACGGCATGTTGGAGGATGATTGGTTGGGTAAGTGGCTGCGATTGTCCGACTGATATGAGCTAACGCCTTTTAGAAACCAGGATGCAGGCCAGAGACGTGGAGTTTTGCAAGTTCCGTGAGATTCAGGCGGTAATCATGACCTGGAACGCCGGTGCTTCTACCCCTGGAAGCGTGCGCACATCCACTTTTATCCAGGATGCGATCCATCCTGAGAACCCGCCAGAGATCTTGGTGTTTGGCTTCCAGGAGCTGGTGGACCTTGAGAATAAGAAGATCACAGCCAGTACGTATACCGCTGACATTATTGGGTGTAGCTAACTCCGTCCAGAGAGTCTGCTCCTCGGGAGTAAGAAGAAGGAGCACGGTGACAAGGAACACATGAGTCGGCAATACAGGGTGTGGATGGAGCACTTGACCCGCTGCATTAATGACTGCATGCCGCTTGAGGAGTCGTATGTGCTACTGCATAGCGCGAATCTGATCGGTCTCTTTACGTGTGTGTTCGTGAAGCACAAGGAGCGCCAGCGGATCAAGAATATCGGCGCCTCGGAGATCAAGCGCGGTATGGGAGGGTTGCACGGAAACAAGGTAGGCTCAAGTTATTCTGGTTGCCGTCAGTTGCTGATTGCTGATTGCTGTAGGGTGCACTTATACTCCGCTTTGTCCTTGATGACAGCTCCCTCTGCTTTATCAACTGCCACTTGGCAGCTGGTCAGACGCAGACGGCACACCGCAACAATGATATCGCGGCGATTCTCGAGGCGGAGTCGCTTCCCGCGGAGAATAGTCTCGCAACTCGCGCGAATCACTACGTGAGCGGTGGCGATGGCTCAATGATTATGGATCACGAGATCTGTATTCTGAACGGTGATCTCAACTACCGTATCGACTCTATTCCGCGGAACGTGATCATCGACGACATCCGCAGCAACAACCTGACCAAGCTACTGGAACGCGACCAGCTGCTGGCCTCGCGACGCAAGAACCCCGGCTTCCGTCTGCGTTCCTTCAACGAGGCACCCATCACGTTCGCACCGACATACAAATACGACGTCGGCACCGACGAGTACGACTCCAGCGACAAGAAGCGCGCACCCGCATGGTGTGACCGAGTTCTCTACCGTGGACTAGGCCGCGTCCGTCAACTAGAATACCGCCGACACGAAGTCCGCGCATCCGACCATCGACCAGTGAGCGCTACATTCAAGCTGCGCGTCAAGACAGTGCTACCGACGGAGCGAGCCGGGACCTGGGAGTCATGTCAGCAGGAGTTCCAGAACGAAAAGCGCCGACTTGCATCAGAAGCGAGGTGAGACATACCATAAATCCGTGGAAGGGCACTGGCTAACAATAGCAGCATCGAATACCTAATCACTGTTCTCGGAACGGGCCCTCAACAGGCGCGGGCCCTGATCTTGGGCAACGGGAATTGATGGCTTGCTGGCAGTAGAGTGTGTTGGTGGGAGTAGACAGGCCGAGGCCATGTGTATGACTAATGAATCACGATAGACATGTATCATGACGGGGATTAGAATTACCCGGGCATATATTAATGGTGTGTATATAGCAGCTACTACTTTCAGTGGGTTCATATAATGTACGCATCTAACAGTAGGTTGTAATATATATGGAAGCTGCAGGAGGATAGCCCAACCTAGAGCAACATGAACACTATCATACAATAACAATCGAAGAACCTATCATGGATAATAAAGAATATTGGATAACCCTTCAAACACAAAACGAAGTCCAGATA